CTCCAAGCAAGCAGGGCCTCTTATACACCAAGAACTGTGGGAACCAGTTACCCTGGCTCACAAATTTAATCTCAGCATTCAAGAGGTAGAAAGGCCAAGCGGCTTCATATACAGGGAGGTCTTGGTCTCAAAAGCACAGAACTATAAAGAGAATTGTGGCAGGGCACTAGGAGGTACAGAGGGCCTCAGGCACACAAGACGACCCTGAGTGGTTTCCTATGTGCCTCCCTAGGCTGTCTGCAGAGAATGTCACTATGATGACAGATGCGGAGAACCTAGGTGGTGGAAGAGAAAATGGGGTGTGAGGAAGGGTCAGGAAAGATGTGGGATGACATCACTCTCCATAGAACCTTCCTCAGCCCACCTCCTAAGGCTCTTTCATTCATCAGCTGAGTTGAATGAGGTTATGCAAGTTCCTAATTCTTGACTTAGTAGAACCTGTGACACATCAAATGCATTCTGGGGATCTAAGTCAGGATGCACAGAGAGCATTTTCTATGTGCTTGATGAAAGAACCCTTACTTTCCAGAACACCATCTAGGTCAGTGATTTGCTCTTCAGAAAATCCTGGGGCATAAAGTAGACACGGTGGTGTGTGCCTGCAATCTCGTAGCTTGGAAGGGGGAGACAGGAGGGTAATAAAATTAAAGTCATCCTTGGCTACATAACAAATTTAAGGCCAGCCTGGTCTACATGAGACCCTTTCTCAAGGAATTGGGGAAATAACACAAAAGAAAATTCCAGGGTAAAGAGACTGATAAGAATAAGACAAAGAGCTGGGCGGTGGTGGCGCACGCCTTTAATCCCAGCACTTGGGAGGCAGAGGCAGGCGGATCTCTGTGAGTTCCGAGGCCAGCCTGATCTACAAGAGCCTGATCTACAGGCTCAAAAGCTACAGAGAAACCTTGCCTCATAAAACCTAAATAAATAAATAAATTAAATAAATAATAAAAAAAATAAGACAGAGAAGGCAAGAGAGAGAATGGAGCGTATTTCTCTTCAAATGACTAAATGACTTTAGGGTCTATGGTGGTTTGAATGGGAGTGGCTCCCATAGGCGCAAGTATTGAGTGCTTAGTTGCCAGAGAATGAAACTCTTTGAAAGGATTAGAAGGACTAGGAGATGTGTCCTTGCTGGAAGAGGGGTGTCACTGGGGGAGGGAGAGGGGTTTTGAGGTGCCAAAGCCTATGCTGGACCCAATCTCTCTCTCTCCCTCCCCTCACTCTCTGCCTGCAGATCACCATGTAGCTCTCAGCCACTGCTCCAGCACCCATGGGTGCTGCCATGCTCCACACCATCATGAACTACACCTCTGGAATTGTAAGCAGGCCCCCAATTAAATACTTTCTTTTATAAAGGAGTTGCCTTGGTCATGGTGTCTCTTCACAGCAAAAGGATGGGGACTAGACAGGGCCATTTAATTTGTTCAGAATAACTTCTCATTATTCTTCAAGTACAATTGCAATCATGACATTATAAAACCGTAACTGGTTCACAAGAATAATAATAAAATCATTTATCACACTAACAAAGACAGCAAAGTTAATTTCCAGGCTAAAGTTATTACAGTTCTTTACTCTTATGACAGCCGCAGACACCAGTTCCTCCACCCAGACTCATTACCATAGCAGGGAGAGAGGGGCACAATCTATCTAATCTCTAATGCACCTCAAAGAGATGGTCAGTTTAGCATTGAGGAGAATGAGACACTTTCATCTTCAGGAAGTGTGTCTTCCAGGTGAGTCTTGTGTGGGCACCTAAGTGTCTTCACTTTAGTGGAATGCTGCCCTTACTGGAGGGTACAAACAGCTTCTAACTTCCTTCAACGCTTTCTAGAAGGTCTGTAAAATGTGCCTGTTAGTTATGTGGACCTAGGGGACTAGAGTTTCTTGCCAAATTCTCTTGGTTTGGTGCCTGCTGTCCTATTCACCTGATTGTCCCATAGACCCATCAAACTCAACCTAAAACTAAATACATTACATGTCATAGTTCTGCCTCCTAGTCCACCCCAAAACGTGGCCCAAGCACAGAATGTCCTTCCTCCCAACACTCATCTCCCTCCCCACAACATTCTTCTAGCCAACCTCACTTAAGGTGACATTCATCTAGCCAACCTCACCCAAGGAGACATTCATGTAGCCAACCTCACCTAAGATGACATTCATGTAGCCAACCTCACCTAAGATGACATTCATGTAGCCAACCTCACCTAAGATGACATTTATCTAGCCAACCTCACATAAGATGACATTCATCCAGCCCCATCTTGCCCAAGACAATATTCATCTATTCTCATCTCAATCCTGGCCCTACCTTGCCTTCTTCATGGCTTTCTAAAGCCCTCTGGCTAGTCCCCTGCCTCCCATTTGAACTTTCAACTGGAATCTCCATTATTCTAGGATGACCTTTCCAAACAGCTGTGTAAAATGACTTCTCAGGGAGTAGCTCCAGCCCCTTGAGTCTTCCTGAAGCCCTGACAACCTGGTTGCTCTCAAGCCTGTGTTCTTGGTGTTTCTACCACCACACTTTGGTGTGCAGATGGGAAAATGGCCTTCATTCTTCCCATTCATCTCCACTATCTGGAATTCCCTTCCCTCACTAAGATCCTAACTCAGGGACATATCTTCCGTGGCACCTGCCTTGATCATGCCACTGTCGCAGGCTGCAACGTGCTTGAAAGTGACTTACAGGGCACTTCCCAAACTCTGCATGGAGAGGTTGCTTTCCTGTCCAGCCACAACTGCAAGTCATCCACCCACCTGCAGCACAGCTCAAGAACCTCAAAATCTAGCACTGACTTAGACTTCATTTTATTCTGAATTAGTTTAACGGTGGAAAATAAGGGAAGATAGAGGCGTGAGATAATCTTTATAAAAAAATCAGAGGTTGACTTTTAAAAGGTCTGGAGGTGATCTAAAGATGTCCTGAGCAGTCAGAACTGGCAAGTCAGAAACTTACAACCAAGTATGTCTATCAGCCCAGTAAGAAGTCTGCCTGGCTACAAAACAGCAGTAGAGGTGGGCTTGGAGCTTACCAACACTTCTGGCACAAGATCAGGAAGAAGTCTCTCACATAATCTTCAAAAAAAAAAAAAAACATAACACTACCTAGGCTACCGCCTTGGGCAGGCAGAGCATCCAGGAGCAGCACTCCCAGAGGAGAGCCATGGGAGTTCCTCTTACCCAGGCCCAGGAGGCCCACTGCTCCTTCAACCCAGCAGCAGGTGCTGTGTGTGGAGGCCACACAGACCCCAGCAAGTCTTCATAAGTACTCGTTCTCAAGGCTTCTTTTCAGTCAACAAAGAAGCAAAGAACCTAGGGTTACACTATCTGTCAAATACTGGAAATCCAGCTGTTCTGTGCTGCTAATTAAAAACAGGATCAAGTACTAACCAGCTGTTACCACTCACAGCAAAGAAACAAGGGTCTGGCCGCATCTGTCCCTGACTCCTGCATCTGGAACCGTGATTCTCGGTGCCATCAGACTGGCATTCCTTTATATTCTCTGATATTTCATGAAGCCCTAGCACTATCCCAAAAGTAAATTGATAATTCTGTTCCACAGATATATGAATAACCTTATATGTACACATAATTTCAAAATAAAGAAAACACTGTCATATCCTAGCTAAAATAGGAATATAATACTCTAGCTAAAATATGCAGCAAAAGAAACTAATAATAAGACTATTTGTATTTCAGCATTAACAATATTCTCCTGTGTTGTAGCAGCCACCACCAAAGAGCAGCAGCTATGGCCCTGGGTTATCCCATGGCTGTGGGTCTCAACAAGAGTCACAAGGTGACAAAGAATGTCAGCAAGCCCAGGAAGAGTCGGCACCACGAGGGTCCTCACCAATGACACCAAGTTCGTATGGGACATGATCCAGGAGGTGTGCGACTTCATGCCCATGAGCAGCATGCCATAGAGCTGTTCAGGGTGTCCAAACACAAGCGCACGCACGAGTTCATCATGAAGAGTGTGGGCACGCAAATGCACACCAACAGGAAGCAGCGGGAGGAGCTGAGCAACGTGCTGGTGGCCATGAGGAAGGCCAGGGTCAAGAAGGATTGATGCCCCTGCCCTACCTCCCTTCCCAACGAACATTTATACTGAAAACAGACAACAACGAACAAAACACAATGTTTTCCTATCAATGTCTGGTTTTAGAGGGAAATTAAGATTTTTGTTTCACATGAGAAACACAATAATATGCAAAAAGGCAAGTAAAACTTACTATCGGAATTATTTGTATAGGGAAAAAGGAAAATATGTGAACTATAGTAAGGCTTTTTTAAAAAAAAATATGATCTCCCCCAGAAAAAACTGCCACATTGAATAGAATGAGGAGCAATGGTATTCCTGATGGCAAACCAAGTACTCTGAAAAAGGGTGGCTGAGTGATATCTTATGCCTTGATATAGCATAATAATTATATATATCTTAGAGTGGGAACCCCACCCCTAGCAGAACTGCATTCAAACTTGATATCTGCTCTATAGGACCAACTTCTGGGTTTTTAGGACTGTTCTGTACCCTGACAAACACCTCTGGTACCTCATCTCTAGATGATAGCAGTACTGTCCACTCCTCGTGCCAACAAACAAACTTACTTTCATGCTTCTGGGAGCATCCCCATAAAGATCCACCAGTCCAGTTGAGTTTTATAAAGCTTGAATGAGCAAAGAATGAACAAAGCTAACTTTGGAGAAAACCAGGGCATGGGGAAACACACACACACAAGGCTGAGATGGAGCTCTGAAGAGCTGGACCACAAGGACCTGGCCCAGGGCTAGCAAATGTGTGAACGCTTGCTGAATAATAAGAAGCAAACATAATGGCGCACCATGCACAGACCCAGGGGTACGTTGTATCCCATAACCCCAGAGCTTATCTCTACACCTCTTATTTCCCAGTATGCTTTACTGTGTACTCAAACAGACTGATTAGCGATCCCTGCATTTTCTGGGTTCCCAGCATGGGGCAGGGGTAGGCATACCTTCTTCAGTTTCTACAGCTCCAGAAGGCATGGTTGGTCGTCTCTCTTCTGTCTTTGCTTCTTGCTCAAGAGCCTACAAGATAAAGCAGGGGAAATTGCTGAAAACCATTTGGGCCCCAGATGTGCAAATGAGAGGTAAAAAAATCACCATCACAGATCTCAGAGTTGGGAAATCTGGCAAGGAAAGTGTGTGTGTGTGTGTGTGTGTGTGTGTGTGTGTGTGTGTGTTAGGAGTGATGGTAAACCCTGGTAGAGTATTCAAGGAGGACAAGAGAAGTCAGATGAAACCCAGAGGCACTTTTTTTACATTTCATAACCACAAGTTTCTCAGGAATACCGTGTATGAACCACAGCAAGGGACCTTGAGACAAAAAGAAAGAAGTGAGTGTTGGCACACCTACCCAACTGGAGTCTCCTAGACCCACATCATACACACACAGGCGATGTGAGAGACCTGGTAAGGAGGTAGGACCACAGTCAGAGTGTATCCAGAGTGACCACAGGTCAGAAAGTATGCAGGCTGGTACAGATTGTCCCTGGCTGGATCCAAGTTGCTGCGCGAGCTCAAAGCCAAGGCAAAAAGCTGCCCTCTTGGGACCAAAATGATCTCCTTAGCCCATGAAGATAGGAGGAAACACAGAATCATATGTTCATGAGCTGACCACTTACGCAGCCCAAGATGATATCAGTATAGGGTTCTACAATAAATCTTTAGCCTCCTTGGGTGGACAATCACACAACTAACATAGCTGGTTAGCCCTCCCACAAAATTAGGCTGGCAGATCGAGTGTCCCATTCACTGTCTATTCTAGAACATCCAAAGGTCAGAATATGTACCCATTGTAGCAAGCTACAAAGGGGCAGTGGGTGCTAAGTGTCTAGATATACACTGTAGGCTACCTCTGCCAGTGTCCCCTATAAGAAGTGCTTTCCTCTCTTCTGGGCCCCAGAAGATTAGGAAAGGACTAGACCACATCTACAATGGATGTATGCTACCAAGGCAGTATGATTTAGTTTTCATTGTCAACTTGATACAGTCTAGAGTCACCTGGGAAGAGGGCATCTCAGTTGAAGAATTCTCTTGATCAGATTGGCCTATGGCCATGTCTACTAGAGACTATCTTGTTTGATGATCGATGTCTACAGCCCACTGTAGACAGTGCCAACCTAGGCAGGTAGACCTGGGCTATTAAGGAAGCTAGCAAAATCAGATTAGGAGGCCCATCAGTTAAGAGCATTTGCTGCTCTTCCAGATGACCTGGGTTCAATTCCCAGCAGTTGCTTGGTAGCTTACAATCACCCAAAATTCAAGTTCCAAGGAATCTAATCACCTCTTTTGACCCCCTACAGGTATCAGGCAGGCCAAACATTCATACACATAAAACAAAACAAATAATCTAAAAAAAAAAAAAAAAAAAAAAGAAAGCTAGAAAGTGGAGCATGAGCCAGTGAACCAGTCAGTAAGCATCACTGTTGATCAAATAAACCCCTTCCTCCCCGACAGTGATTTTGGCAGTGGTGTTTATCATAGCCTCAGAAAACAAACTGGAGCAGGGTGGTACCTAGCATGAGGAGTGGAGCTCGGAAGAGGGGTCACCATACAAGCCCAAGGCCCAAGATAACAATCTGCCCTCTGTTTACCCTGGGACAACCTTGATCTTTGAGAAAAGCACATCAGACATTAGTTTTTTATTACAAAACTAAACGTGAAATAAAACACTTAACCTTCTTCTTGTAAATGAGAGGTATAAAAACTTAGTTTTTATTCTTAAAACCATTTCTGAATACACTTTAATAACTTAGAGTACCTAGTTGACTTATCTGCTAGAGTTCAGTGCTAGAACCGCATTTACCAGCACACTGACTAATACAAACGGCCTTCGTTAGGAAGAGACTGTTTAAAAAGCATGAGAAGGTACAGGCAAGTTCTTGTTTATCACAGGCTGTCTATCTGACAGGCTGTCAGTTCAATCCAGCAAAATAAAACAAACCAACAAAATATATACATAGACATATTTAGATTGCTATACATGCATGTGTAGCAAGAGACTATTTTTTTTTTACTTCTTTAAATCCTTCACTAAATTTTATTGATTTATTTATTTTGTGTATGTGTGCATTTATGTGTGTGGCATTCATGTGCTGGTGTGTGAGTGTGTATGAGTGTGTGTATGTGATAGTGTGTGTGTGTGTGTGTGTGTGTGTGTGTGTGTGTGTAACAGAGGACACCTCACAGGGGTTGATTCTTTCCTTCCACTGTGTATGTCCCCAGGGTGGAATTCAGACCATCAGGTCTGGCTCCAAGTGCTTGTTACCTGCTGAACCACTTTGCCAGCCCAAATTTCTTACCATTTATCACTGCAGTTTGGATATTCAGCAACAGTTTGGCTTTTAGTACTGTGGTAGTTTAATGAGAATGGCTCCCATAGGCTCATATGTTTGAATGTTTGGTCCTTAGTTAGTAGTACTGTTTTGGAAAAGATTAGGAGGTGTGGTCTTGTTGGCGTGTCACCCCCAGTGACACACCTATGCCTCGCCCAGTCTGTCTCTGTCCTCTGTGTCTGGATCTCTCTCTCTCTCTCTCTCTCTCTCTCTCTCTCTCTCTCTCTCTATTGTTCTCAAGCCATGAGTCCCCTCATGATGGTCATGGACTCACCCTCTGAAACTGTAAACAAGTCCCCAATCAAAAGCTTTCTTTTGTAAGCTGCCTTGGTCATGGTGTCTCTTCACTGCAACAGAACAGTGACTAAGACAAGCATTTATTACAAACTGGCATTATCTTGACATCAACTACAAGGCAGAGTAAAAACATTAACAGCTCTGACCAAGTGTGGCTTCTAAAGGTGATGAGAGGCATAGTTCTGGTACAAGAGAAGGCAAGCTGAGGATTTGAAAAGGTTTCATGATTACGTTCTACAGAGCTGTATGTAACAGAGACAAGCTCAGACTAGTTCGAATGAGCATGTCTCCTTGAGGGGACAGAGTGTGAGGTTCCATGTACCAGACTGTGATCATACAAAAGCAGATTTTAGTACATATCAGATTCAATAAACTTGAATTCTTTTTATTTTCCTCCCTTCTCTCTCTTTTTTTTTCTTATGTTTTGAAACAGGATCTCCGTATGTAGCCCATGCTGGCCTAAAATTTGTAATCTTCCTGTCTTAGCCCCCAGAGCACTCAAATATATATATATATATATATATATATATATATATATATATATATATATTCTGAGAAACATGTGTGTGTCACTACTCCTGGGTTAGCATGAATATACTGTATACATATAGCATATGCATCCACATTACTACTTATTATCCATAACTGTCAAAGTGTAGTATAAACACCCCAAATGAGAATTGCCTTTGGGGGCTAGAGTGATAGCTTAGTGGTTAAGAGCACTTTGCTATTACAGATGACTACTGATCAGTTCCCAGCAACCACATGGCAACTCACAACCACCCTTAAGTCTAATTCCAGGGAATCCAACACCCTCCTCTGGTTCTATGAGCACCAGACACACGCATTGTACACACACATACATGCAGGCAAAACATGCATACACATAAAGTAAAAGTAAATTAATAACTGATAAAAATAGTCTGCCTTTTGCTTATACATACAATAACATCTAACCACGTAAGATACTGCATGACCAGTTTTAACTTCAGGAACGTGTGGCACCGTCTGTCATGGCAGTTGAAGTGGATGACTGGATGGCAGGAGGAACATTGGCCTTCCTCCCACCTTCCCAGTCCCCTTGTTCACTTCCCAAGCAACAGGATGACAGGAGCAAACCACCACGCCTACTTCTTAATTGGTTCTCTTACGTTTTCATGAAATGAAGCCTCAGAAACTCTCTTACCATTGTTATTGCAGAGCCTGCTGCAATAAAATGATCATGACATCTCATTTTATTCATCCCATAGCTTTGCTGAAGTCAGTTTCTCAAATGTGTGCAATTTCAGCAAACCCAGCTGAAGGAGTCTGCAATGATGCAAATGCCCAAAGCGTTTGCTGCACATGGAACATGTTCTATTCTTCCTGTTAGTCACCATGTGCTGTGGGACAATGGTCTGTATCCTGTCAATTATATTTTAAATAAATGCTGATTGGCCAGTCACCAGGCAGGAAGTATAGGTAGGACAATCAGACAAGAAGTAGAGGTGGGTCAATGAGAACAGAAGAATTCTGGGAAGAAGGAAGTCTTATTCAGCAGTCTTGACCCAGCCACAGAAGAAGCAAGATGTGACTGCCTCGCAGAAAAAGGTACTGAGCCATGTGGCTAACACAGATAAGAATAATGGGCTAATGTAAGTTATAAGAGTTAATAAGAAGCCTGAGCTAATGGGCCAATTAGTTTATAACTAATGTAGAACTCTGTGTGATTTCTTTGAGACTTAACAACTGTGGAACCGGGCAGGACAGAAACCCCCACAACAACCATGTGTCATGCAGCTGCTCTCTGAACAGCTCTCCCGGGACCATGCATGTTGCCAGGCTCCATCCCTGTGGGGCTTCTGGGGCCAGACTCCTCTTGGGAATATTGTGCAATGTAGCCCAGCATCTGCCTGGCAGGGACTCGTCACCTTTCGGTACCTCCACGAGAAGCTACAGGATGACTGGAGGCTTTAATATCATTAAATGACAAATGCTTGAAGCTCGGCCCTCACTTGTGTATACTAAATAGAACCGTACATGCCAGAAAATGACACACAAATTTCTAAATCCCAATGGGAGAGAGACCCTGAAGAACATGCTTCATTTGAATTATTCAAATTAAAATTCTATGTGGGATATGCTGATAACATTTATTTGTTATTTAAAACACTTTAATTGCCTTTGTAGTTAATTATATAACATCAACATAGAAGCCAAACTATGATAGATGGCAGTGTCTATTTCTCTGAGCTGATGTTTTAATCTGGTTGAAAGCCTGTACAGCCAAAGAAAACTGCCTTACAAGTAGAAGTGCTTGACACGTGGGGTCACAGGATCTAGACAGAGACCCCCAGGGCCGCTGAGCACTGTCTACCAGACCGAATCAGGTCATAGTCAAAGCAAGTTTGCTTAATAAAAATGAAAAGTACAAATATTCTATATATTTGTCCAGAAAGTACAAACTACTAAGAATGATGAAATGTTTTGATCCTGAGATGTGCACGCCATAGGAGCCCTCAAATCTGGTGTCACAGACATGGCAGGAAAGAGCAAATCTCTTTATAAAAGGACTATGTTCTCACCTGTCCTGTTCATATACAAACAGAACAGAGGTAAAGATCTAAGTCATAAGAAATTCCATCAGAACACGCTATGAACTGTAAGGTAAGAATCAGAATACTGTCAAAAAGTAGAGAAAATGAACGGTATTAGAATATTAAAATTCATTTGTGGAAGCCTGGTACCCAGGCACAAGTTTGCAGTTCACGTACAAAGATGGAAGGATCCTAAACTCAAGGATAGCCTGGGCTACACAGCAAGACCCTGTCTCAGAAAACAAAACCCACAACAAAAGAAAGGCAAGCGAAACAAGAATGGACAGACTGCTGCTTCTGCACTGCCTAAAGCTGCGCTGGTCTCCATTCCGCTGATCAGCGCAGGCTCTAGCTTCGTGACCTCAAGTTTTCATCAGGAAAAAGCCCTGTTTGCGACCAAGCACCGTTCCAAAACAGTGCGTAGATTCCACACGCACTAAAGGAGCATGCACCATGGAGTACGGGAACCACGGTACAAACCTTGACAAGAAAGGTCCTGTCCCAAAAATACTTCCGGAAGAGCTTGATATCTGCCTCCAGCAAATGCTCGGCTGTGTGGTTAACAGTCAGAGTCAAGGTTTCCGATGAGTGAGCAAATTGTAGAGACGCATCTTCGTGGAGGCGCAGTCGGGAGAAGCCTGGGGACCGGCTACCCTGAAAACTGAACCACCACAAGTCAAAACCCAACAGCTTCACAGAAGCCACCCCCCATCCTGCCCTGATACTACAACTCCGAATGGAAAATGATCCTTCAAAGTCACTTACACACTCAATTACACAAGCGTGTGTAAACAGATCCGGGACAAGCCATCTTTATTTTTCCACTTAGTGGTGGTTTTTAAAAGGCTGTATCTATTCATAAATAACAAAGCAGTCCTGACTTTAAAGCATAGAAATGTACCTCACTATTCCACTCACCTTTTAATTGGAAAAGATGTCTCTCCCTTTAATGCAGCTCATGTAGAACAAATTAGCAGGCAACCAATCGCTTGTTAGGCGATTATAATGGAAAACACATAGGATCTCCAGGGAGTACGGAGAGCTTTGGATGTGACAAACAACTGAAAGATTCCTAACCCACTGGTACCACTGTGCTAAATCGCTTCCTCGTGCAAATCAGAACACGCACAGATTTGATTAGGTCATAGTCTTGAACACACTCGCTAATAATGAAACGACAGCCCCAAACTAAGTTCTCGAATATAAGCTTATGTTCTCATCTGTCTCGGCTGGCGAAGAACTGTGTTAGCTATCCACCTTCTTGGTGGCTGGAATTACAGCAGCAAATAAGTACAGCTTGCAATATCATGCACTGGTAACAGTAAAGAGGCTCCAGGAGAAAAATATGCAGGTCTATCATGTGGTCACATCCAACAGACAGTTTCCCAGATCCCTCGCTTTACAGAACCAACTCTGCCCCTTTCTGCCTCTGGCATGATCTCATTTTGCTAATGAATGTTTGCTTTACAGAAATACAGCTGAGAGCCTGTAACTTACTTACAATGGCTTGATTTCTACTTTGTCAATGCTACAATGCTGTGGAAGACACATGAATTCATTAGAAATGTTACTTTCCGGGTTTGAATTTTGATTTTACCCAGGCTGGAGGAGGTACACACATAGTGGCAAAAAGCCTCATCCCACAGTCAGTCATACAACCATGAGGCTACAAATGTGGACCATGTTGCCCAGTGATGTATAGGAGGCTGGGTTTAGCAAATGCATTGGAAATGGGAAATTTTCAACCTAAAACAGATTCAAAGGACATACCTCCATTTAAAATGGAGGTGCCTTTGAGCTGACTTATTTCCATCAGATGGAGTGACAGAAAGGGATCTGTAAAGACCAATTTTACTGGAAGATACAGTCTTCACACAAATTCCAGAATCTTCTAGAAAACGAGCCACTGAGGTGAAAGGTCCATGGGACTGAGTAGCAGCTCTAATTTGAAACACAGATACTCCATCATGCGATCATATGATCACATAATCTTATGACATAATTGAGTCTACTTTTAATTCCGCCTATGAATTGATCTATTAAACATGTAAATTTTTAAAACATACAGTATCTTCTGGTGCTGGAAACAAGAAGGAGGGGCAAAGCACCAGCAGATAAGTCTACCTCCAGGGGGGAACACTGCACCAGCAGCCGTAACTCAGTTAAGGGACACGTTCTTGCCCTGTTCTTTGTAGCCAAGAAAACAGGGTTGTGTTCATAAGCAAAGGAAAGGACAATTCCCTCTGGAGAGGCTTGTCCCTTGGTTAATGACAATTTGATCAAATAAAGCAGGGGAGGAGAAAGAGAAAGTTCTGGTTTCTACCTAATGCCCACGTAAGCATCAAATTACCATTAATTAATCACATCGAATTAATTACATTGAGCTATATGAGCCAAACAAAAAAAACCATCCCACTAAGATACACCATGTAATAATACTCTAGCAATAGTTAAATTTTTTATTGTAATTTTCAATGTACTATTCTAGTTATAATTTGTATTTTACCATATTATATCAAGGCAATCACTATATCTGGCTCCTTCTTTCATAACTGAGGACAATTCATCTGAACCAAAGAAGCACATAATCCACTGGTCAGTCACTGGGAATGTTGAGAACACTGCCGACAGAGACAGCTTCATAGGTAACAGATTATCTCCCTTACACGAACTCACTAAACCCTAGTGACTACACATATAGCTTACCTGCCATTCTTACAATGGAAATTATGACACTGGCATTGAATTAGAAATAGTCCAATAAGTAAAGGAGAAATATTCTCATCTCTCAAATGGTTTAGAAGATAGCCAAAAAAGTAAAAGGTCATCCTGTGACTATTACTAAAATTAATCATAATCATACAAGAACATAATTCAGAAGCCTCTGTTGAGGAAATGATGTTGAAGCTAAAGCCTGAAGGACAGTGTAGGCCACCGTTTGGACAACTCTTTCTTCATCATTCTCCCTGTCTCTCCTCCACAAAATACTCCCAATCAAGGTATCACATATGCACCAGCTAAGCATATACTGGTACTAAGCGTATATTTGTACAAGAAGACTAGCTGTATAAAACACAAGCCAACATCAGCAGATGGTTTAGTTGTCCCCGTTTTCTCATAACGCTCGGCAGGCTTTAAGGGCATGGTCAAGAGAGACACTATCGAGCAACTGAACTTACTTTGTGATGTCTTCCACCAGCATGGAGTGTCCACCATGCAAAGCCAGGTCTAATGGTGTGGTACCCTCTTCATTGGGTAGCTCCAAGGCCTTGACGCCCCCCGGGAGACACAAGAGGAAGTGGAAAAGCTTAGGCAGGCCCCATCTCACGGCTAGGTGCAGGAGAGACTCTCTGTGGAGAGACACTGAAGAGAAGGAAAAACATGTTGTCAGTGCCTCCATTCATTAAAGAGCTGGTCAACTGGGTATAACAGAAACATCAGGGCTGGAAGGAATCAAAAGTATCTCATCTTGACCTCATGCTCTACAAATGATGAGAGACCCTGGGGTTTTCTGGAGGTCAGGGAGCCAGAGGGCACTGGAGCTATGGCACCCGTGACTGGTACAGGCTCTTTCCATCCACTGTGCTACATCCTGTTGCCACTCAGGATGCAGGAACATCACGGGAGGAGACAAGTTCTCAGGAAAGATCATCCTTCGGAAATACGCTCACCAATTTCTAAGGTATCCAACTAAGAAGATCCTGCCACACAGACAAGACAGACTATCAAGACCAAAGGCACACAGAAACCTCCGTTCCTACCATTTGTCCTCAGAGCTAGTCCTCCCTTATGAGAGGCTGTGGCAGAAAGCAGTTTCTTAAGTCTAGAGCACTCGTGACCACGGTCTGTCCCCAGACTCACAGTAATTGTGTGTGCCCAGCACACATCTCCACATTGCCAAAGGCCCCCTGGTGCTATGCCTTTGCAGATGGCCCTGCACAGGGTCCTCGGCAGCCTCCTGCTAGTTTCCACTGGGATGTTTACTGCCGCATGTTGTGATCATTTGCTGACTTCCACTGTATAAGCTGACAGGCCCGCAAAGGTTTTCTTCTTAACAGTAGCTGGTAATGCATAAGGCCATTAAGTACTTGCAGAGTTGAAAAGTAATTAACTATCTATGTCTCAATTGTGTATGCATATTTACTTCATATGTAATACAGAGAGAGTTTGTACACTTGTCTCCCTACAGTTAACAGCCCAGTACCTAGGACATAGGCGATTCATGACAAGCACTATACTGGAAATAGGTAAAATATAAAAAACATTTTCTTATATTAAAAAGCTAGACCCAAACTGATTGTGGCGGCACCTGCCTGGAATCCCAGAGCTCAGGGCTGTGAGGCAGGAGGATCACTTGTGCCCAGGAACTTGACACTAACCTGGGCAACATAGCAAGATACAGACTACATACATACATACATACATACATACATACATACACACATACATACATGCCAGGCTCATGAACTTTATAGGCATGGTCACACTTTAAAGGCATTCTAACAGCCTAAACACAAAGATGGTCACTACAGATCTGTTGTGATGAGCAGCACACAGTGGGATCTAGTAAGTAATGATACTGATTATATTCATAACCCAAGAGAGCTAGACAGCAGAACGAAAGGCCCAAAAGGGTAGGAACCTCGTCTTCTGTCCTGTGGGATCCCACGAGCATCACAGTGCCTGGCACACTTGCTAAGCATTTACAGATGAAATTACACACGAATGGCAAGCCCCTGTGGACGCTGGCTTTTCATCTTGGACTGGGCTGCTACAAGGGACCCCATCACTCTCCATTCTCTCTGACATAGCTCCTAAATGAAGCCTCACAACAGAAACCGTGGACTCCCAGCTGGTATTCCCACACACAACGAGGACATTAAGGACCAAAATGCCAGCTTCCCACACAGCTCACTGTCCACAGAACCATGATCTTATTGTTTTCTGTCTTCATTAACATAACTTCACTATTGCCAGAGACTCCTGCCCAGGCAAACCAGGGACTGTTTACTGCAGAAATTTCCCACAAGACTCATCAACCCTTCAGCAGGAACCACCAATGGACAGTAGAGAAGCCCTAAATCCAATTTAAACCATCATGATCCTTGCCAACTCCCATGAAGGCCCCCATCTGAACCTTCCATTCCCCCCACCATCACCAACCCTACTCCCACAATGAAAAAAAATCTTTATGAAACCAAGCTTCAATTTCTCAATGAATTCCTGTCTTGCCACCCCCAGCCCCTGCAGCCATTAAGGGTTTGGAGCAGGGCTCCCAGATTCACTAGGGCAGTCATAAGCACAGCTTTGTCTCATGCATGTGAGGAGTATTTGTGGAGGGAGCATGGAACAAAATCCCAACACAGCAAAGAGAAACGTCCTGCTGTGCACGGATACAAAATAAAACTGCTCGGTTTACACGTTCACGGGTCTGCTCAGCTTTCCCTACATCTGCATCAATGACTAAGGGCTTTAGATTTCAAATACACAAGAACGATACCTGGCTCCTTATCACTGGATAGTACCACCCAGTCCCCTGCATAGTGGCACTATCATTTGTTATGAGACACAGCACATAGCCCCTCTACAGTGGAACAGCATCCTAAACACCAAAGCATCTAAAGTAGATCCGCAGCCCTGGCTGCACACAGTTACTATGCATTTGTTTGATAAGCTTCAACTCATCTTTATGAAAAATCACAAGGCTTACATTGGCTTTTCCTCTCCACGTGCTGGAAACTCAACCTAATGCCTCATGGACCCTAGGCACCAAAGAATTGATTCTTTTTTTTATCCTTGAAATTTATGACCATTTTACTTATTTACTTAAAAATCATGGCTTTTATTCTTAGCAGGCCCCCTGCAGGACAAGTCTGACAACATTTGTACTTATTTTTCTTATTTCAAATAATAACCAGGAAGAGACTTGTTAGGATCAGGTAACAAAGCAAACACTCACCTGCACAGACATGCACACACACCCTGGCCAGCCGAGGAGAGCCGATCGGCATGAGATACTGAGCGGCCACACTAAATGGAACTTTTACACCACAGATCCCGATGTGGAAGTGGTGAGAAAGGTCTCGTGTTTGTACAGGCTGCAGTTTTCTCCCGAGAAAAACACAACTGAGAGAGAGAGAGAGAGAGAGAGAGAGAGAGAGAGAGAGGATATCTAAACCCCTGGAGTTCAAACAGTAGCACTGGTAAAGGCACGCATGGGTTCAGTACGTGAACAGTCCTGCTTAGGGCCTGCTGCAGTGTTCTAAAAATGGGGTACTGCTGACTATGTTCAGCTGACCAAGAAGAATGACTGTGGGGGCCTCGCTCCCTCCAGTAGCAGAAACTTTCACGCCTGCCTGGCTCGTCCCAAGCATCTACTCTCTATTTACGAGGCAAGAGGGGGCCCATTCTCACATCTCAAATGGGAGAGAACAGTCATGACCCTGCAGCTCACTATCCTCTCGGCCTTAGCCTCAGATCTTCCCCACTTTTGGAAGAGGAAGGAGGGGGGAAAGCAGGGAGAGAAGTTTCCTCTGATGGCCAAAGAAAGCACAGAATAAAGCTACGAGTGTTAAAGAGTGAGCGCTCTCATTCAGTGCGATGTTCAGCATGGAGAAGAAGGCAAAGAGCCTGAAATAGGAAGCATCGTGACACATATAAATAATTCTTCTTGTTAGAAGGTTCCGATTTCTTAACAGCAGCCAAGAAAACCAACTGTGGAAAGGGGTTATACAGTCAGGCAGAGGTAGGGCTGTTTAATTAAAATAAAGACAAAAAAAGAGAAAAGACCTAAGTAGATGTCTCTTCCTGTTTATTTAGCTAGTAGCAGGAGTTATGTGGAGTAATGTAACCAAGCAGAATTACTAATAATTGCTCTGATGGCACACATTAGAAGGTACAACTTCTAACATCCTGGGAACACAATCACCCAGACCCAGAGAGGAACTGAACAGGCCGTGACTTTCAATAAACCACTCCTGTTTCGGAAGGGTGAGGGCCTATCTGCCCTTAGCAGGGAACAAAGCTTGATTCTCACACACCTTGCTCTGTGGAGCATCAGTTTCTCCGCTTATAAAACGAGTCTGGCATGCCCAAAAAGGATCCAATTAATCCAGGCTCATGGCCATGACCAATGCCCAACAAGAAGAAGCTCACGGTAGGAGAGATTGCCTTTGGCATGTGGTTTGTGAAGGCACAGTCTCTCGTTGACAGGGAAGCTGTGGTGACAGGAAACTGAAGTGGCTCTCATACTGTGCTCACGACCAGGAAGCAGAAAAAGGTGAATGTTGTTGCTTGGCTGGCTTTCTCCTTTCCCCAGCCCACAGAAGGATGACACCTGCTTCAGGGCAGGTCGTGCCTCTGTGGTTAATCCTCTTTGGACACACCCAAAGTCATGCCTCACTAACGCCCCAAGTGTTTCTTAACCCGATGAAGATGACAATTAAAACGAACCACCATAAGTCCACTCCTTCTCAACTTGATACCCAAACAAGTCCCTTTTAAACCCAAACAGCCCACCTACCCTTAAAGCTCACGGCCATCCCATAAAGTAAAATAGTTTTAGTCCCACTCTAAGAGTCCCTTGAGTTTATCAGCTCCAACATTGGTCAAAAGACCAAAGTCGAAAATCTTGTCTGAAACTCAAAGAAATTTCTTAACTGTGAGCCTGACATGACCCCTCTAAAATAATTTTTAAACATTATATATTTTCAATATACAATGGCACAAAAGTAAATATTCCCATTTCAAAATGGAAGAATAGGGGCATAGTAAGGAAATATTAGATCAAAGTAAGACCAAAACCCAGCAAAGCAAATACCAAAACCTGCAGGTCCATGTCCAGCATATGGGGCTAATGATAACACCATGGGTTCTCCAATAAGTTTACACAGCCCTGCTCCTTCAGCCCTGCTGCCTGAGGCACACACAGCCTTTCTTCTAGACTACTGTACTTCCTTTTACACTGCAGCCTTACATGGCAGATGTCCAATGCTTTTTGGCATGTCCAATATCCTGAGGACTCCATCGCAAACTAGGCTCCACTCTCTCAGCTTCACATACCCTTGCAGGTAACCGGCAGCACCACACAATGCCTGGACCTAGATGCATTCTTGGCACAAGCCTACATGACTCTCTGATGGGGGATGCCCCTATGTGTGCTGTGAGTATGTTCTATTACCACTGGTTAATAAAGAAGCTGCTTTGGCATACAGAAGGGCAGAATAGAGCTAGGCAGGAAAGCCAAACTGAATACAGGGGAAAAGAAGGCAGAGTCTGGGAGAAGTCAACATCCACCAGAGGAGTAAGATGGCAGAGCATTTCCAGTACGCCATAGGGCACATGGCAATAAACAGATTATTAGA